TGACCTTAGCCTAGGTCAAGAGCCCGATGCTCACCCGATGGAGCCACCCAGATGCCCTTAATCGCTTTCAATCCCAGCATTCGACCTAAGTCACCTTTGTGAGATGAAGGATGAGGTGTGGGACAGAGATTTTTTTTGCCCATATCCATCTTCTTAGTAATTTCGGAGTTTTAATCACATGCATTTTCTAACCTAAAAACTTTTTAAGCACCAACGTAAGAAATAGATAAGGATAAAAGGTAAATAGACTAGGATAAAAGACATGGAATTTGAACCCAGCGATTTTGCCAGAGTGGACAAAGCATCAGCCCCAAGCTGCCTGGAAACACAGGAGAAGTTGGAGCTGAAAACCACTCTCTGGACTGGCCAGTCACCACCTCTGCTCGATTCCCCAGACCAGCTGGGTTTCAGGGGTTGGAGGTTTCATCCCAGGAAGGACCGTTGATGCCCACCTGGCTGACAGAGGCCTCCTGCCCACAACCACCTGCCCCAGGGCTTAGGCCTCTCCATGGGTATCTGTGGCCATCTTCTCTACCCAGGCAAAGGAAATGCGTGCAGTATCCTGAGGGCCTCTGGGCAGACCTGAGAAGCGGTTAGCACCTGGCTTCCAGGAAGAAACAGCCTCTCTGGTAACGCCTGTCTGTGGTTGTCCCCTGCTCCCTGATAGAGTCCCGAGAAGGCATTGCCTTAACAGCCACAAAAAGGAAGAAAGAATGGCCACAATCAGATAGATATTCAAGCCAGGGACTGAGAGGCAGATGGACACACGCTGCCACACATAGGTCATCTCTGCATGTTATAGGGCATGATTAAAACAGTGGGTGGGAGTGACACGTTTAAACTGAGGACAAAAAGCAAAGAAAGAGGAATCGCAAAAATCCTCAATAAGACAAAAAGCCCACTTAACTATTTTGGAAAATATATATTATATCATTATGACATTCACCAGGAGTTGACGAAAGGTCAGCGTAAAATATGCATACACTGTATTTTTATTTATTTTTTTTAAACATGCATATACTTTAAGTCTCCATCCTGTTTCCTCACTGGAAAGACTATATCCATGTTAAGGGATGGAGGTGTGCCAGTTTGGGTCACATCATGCTCACCCAGACTTGTCTAATTTTTTTTAATGTTTGTTTATTTTTGAGAGAGAGTGTACAGATGGGGAAGGGGCAGGGAGAGGGGGACAGAGGACCCAAAGCCGGCTCTGCACTGACAGCAGTGAGCCCAGTGCGGGGCTTGAACTCATGAACTGTGACATCATGACCTGAGCTGAAGTTGGACGCTTAACTGACGAAGCCACCCAGGCACACCAGACTTGTCTAACTCAAACTTAAAAGGGAGATTCATAGATTCACACTCTCCCAGTTTGGCTCAGAGAGTCCATTCTTTGCCAGCCACCTTCAGACTGCCCTTGACCTCGCTAGCCTACATAATCTCCCACAAGTCACAGACTGGAAACAGGCCTCATACCCCCTGGGGATACTAGGGAATCTCACAAATCTCACAACTTCCCAAGGTTTTAGGAAAAGTAATCCAGTTCACATTCTCTTCACTCTGGGAAAGGATTGTCACCTTTGTCTTCTTTTCCAAAGGGGCATTCATTATGTTTTCTTTAAGCAGAAAACAAGCCCATGCCTAATGCCCTCTCCCATCCTCCACTTTCCCCCATTCCCCATGGAAAGCTGTGTTAGTCCCCACAGACCTTATAAAGTTAGACACTGTGGTTTATGGGACATTGAAGATTTGAACTGGAAATTAAATAAATTGGCCCTGGGTTGTATATTTCTTTGTTCTGTAGAAATCTTAGCCATGAGGCTGATACCTGGGATTGATTCTGATCCCACCATTTTCCTTCCCTGACTGAGGTCACCGCCCACCCCTCTCTGAGTACTCGCTGTGGGAATTGTTGATGAGTTAGTACGTTCACTTTCTCAAGATGCCGCCTCGTCATGGCTTCCTCAGGGTGGGTTTGCAACCACAGTCAGGTGGTCTTGTTTAGCCGAGAGATTGACCTATAGGGAGAACACTTCCTTGACTGCTCTCTTAGACCAGTTTACTAGAACTGATCTGAAACAAGGAGTTTTGTGCAGTGGTTTCCTGAGGATGAGGTCTCAGAAGAAGCGAGTAAGAGAAGCAGGAAGGGGAGAAACTCACCAAGCGTGTAGTTTCAGGAGAGGGCCAGCCTCAGCCTCATCGCCTTCATCTCTGGAGTATAAATTGTACCACAGTTATGTCCTTGCAGAGGCAAGAGGGTTAGATTGTTAAAACTCCCACATTAATTTATCACTGGCCGTAGGCCGCCTCTGGGGATGAGGCTTTCTGGAAATCTCCAGGCTTGGCAGCTCTCATCAGCAGAGAGCAATCCTCCAGAGAAGTGTGAACTTGTGGGCCCTTGGGACTCAACACCTGTGGCAGCTGGGGTCTGGTGCTCTTGGCTTGGTTAAGGGACAGAGGCAGGGAGCCAACAATGCCAGCTGTGGCAGCCAAAACAGTTGGAAATGGAGAGTATGTGGACTGATATGTTATCTAAGGAATACTTTATATCATATACAAATCGTATCCCATTATATTGTATTAAAATATACATACCTCAAGACATGGCACTCAGAAGGCATAGTATTATTTGATTAGGTTGGATTACAAAATAATCTGGAGAGGGCGACATGGAGGTCATCCAATTCAGCCCCTTCCTTTTATAGAAGAGAATATTTAGGTCAGAGTAAACTGTACTGAGAACCAGCTCTGATTACCGGTCTTCTGCTTTTGTTTGACTTCAACCCAACTCCTATCTGTTGAATGCCGCTATGTATATGACAGGGTTTTAAACACTGAGCAGAGAATTGGAGAACAATTCCAGCCTCAGCCTCAGCCTCAGGCCTTAGGAATGTACAGTCTGTAGAAGAAGATAAGGGAATGGAAGAAAGAAGTAAGATTATGCAAATCAAAACTCAGATCTCACCTCGAAGGCAGTAAGGAGTAAGAGCCATGGCACCAGAGGGCAAAAGTGGGCCCATAGAAGGATGGTTTGTGTTCATCCCAATGTGATGGGAAGCCCTCATCACAAATTTCCTGAAAAAAGATACTCTATTTGGGGGCTAGGGGGTGGAGGTGACACAGAAGATGAATCTGCAAGCAGGTTCTGGGAAAGGGGAGAAAACAAACAAGTAAGAACAGGTGATCCATTTTCCAAATGTCATTTGCTCCAAAGGCTTCTTCAGTTCTTAGCCCGAAAGGGCAAATTATTAAAAGTTTTACTCATTAAACAAAATTATTTTGCTAAAGGCCAAAGGTCCTGCTTTCTGTAGAGAAAAATGTTGGATCCAGCCCATCCTCCATTTTCAGCACAGACAGGTTTTATTTATTTATTTTTTGACTTTCACTTTTTTGAGAGAGAGCGCACACAAGTAGGGGAGGGGTGGAGAGAGAAAGGGAGACAGAGAATCGGAAGCAGTCTCCAGGCCCTGAGCTGTCAGCACAGAGCCCAACAGGGGGCTCGAACTTACGGGCCATGAGATCATGAACTGAGCTAAAGTCAGATGCTTAACTGACAGCCACGTTTCCATTACTATTCCTAGGAATACAAGAACGACAAAAAGGGGTCAGAACCTGCTCTCAGATGCGCGCAATCTTGTTAGATGAGACAAATAAACGTGGCTGTATCAAAATATGATACATGCTTACATAGAGCTCTGCCTAGAACATTTAGCCAGGAATGTCTTGGGGGATATTCAAGGAAGTTTCTACAAAGAGATTGACTTTAGTTGAAACCTGGAGCCCTGGGGAGGAGTACATCATTATCCTCTTTTCTCATCTTTGTCATATGTGCCACTAAAGGAAATTTACCTTTTTAATTTTGTTTGTTGGTAGGTTGTTAATCTCTCTCCTCCTTGATCCCACGAAATACCATTGCTCAACACTTTTGTCACCATTGCTATCCTAAGGAGTCTTTATAGACGTCTTTTTTCTTTTCTTCTCTTTTGTGTTCTTTTTTTTCTTTTTTTAATTTTAAGCAGGCCCCACACTTGACGTGGGGTTTGAACTCATGACCCCTGAGATCAAGAGTCGCATGCTGTACCACTGGACCAGGCAGGTGCCCCAATGCTTTTTTTTTTTTTTTTCTTCTTAATTGGTACTCTGCATCAACTATTTTCCTTCATGGGAAAATGTACATAAGCTAAAATTCACTGTCTCAGTCTTCTTTAAGTGTAGAATTCACCAGCATTAAATGCATTCACAGTGATGTTTAAGCATCACCATTATCTATTTCCAGAACTTTCTCATCTTCACAAACTGAAACTCTGTACCCATTAAACAATAACCCTCCATCTCTACTCCCTCTCCCACCCCCCAGTTCCCAGCAACCCCCAGTCTACCGGTCTGTCTTTATAAATTAGTCAATTCATTTTAGAGACCTCATGTAAATGGAATCAGATGATAGTTCTCCTTTGTGACTGCCTTCTTCCACTTAACATAATATGCTTGAGGCTCATCCAAATTGTAACCTGTGTCAGAATTTCATCCATTTTTCGGTTGGGTATCCCCATGAAGTTTGCCACCACCTGTTAAACCTGTGTGCATCCTGGGGACCTTCATAGGGCTGTGAACCATTGTAGTATGTAAGATTTCTCCACCTCCCAAGAACCAGTGTTGCCTCTTGGGGCAACATCGCCCCTCCGTGAATGGCTGCATTGAAATGGAAGCTGAGTGACCTTGTTGGTCTCATTCTTCAATGTCCCCAGCCATTAGCACAGTACCTAGCACGCAGCAAGAGCTCAACAGTTATCTATTAACCATTTCTCTGGCTCTTTCCACAACCGCTCCCTCTTTATTATTTTAATTCACTCTTCTTAAACTATTGCTCCCAGAGGAATCACAGATATATTTTGCAGCGCAGTGCCTCAGGCTCTCCACTCCCAGCCCTCTCCACTCCTTCTTGTCCCCATGCTACACACACCCTTCTCAATGGCCCTGTGTTCACCCCCTCTCTTCAACAGAGGTGAAAGATTACGAGCCTCCATTCGGTTCCAAAGTGCGGGAGCATCCATGTGTTGAGAGCATGAAGGACAATGTGCTGAGAGACCGAGGACGACCGGAAATTCCCAGCTCCTGGCTCAACCACCAGGTAAGGAGTGGCCATTTTGAAGGAAGCATCAGATTTGTCTGAAGTGGCCTCTGTTACAGGAGAGAATTTTGGGAGCTTGGGCTTCAATCTGGCAGCAGTTCCCTCCCTCCAAAACCTGTTAGGTTTTGTTTATAAAGAAAATGTCACTAAAGTGGACTCCTTACTGTAAGTTCCAACCAGCAGGTAGGCGTACCATTCAAAGAGGTACTTGTGGGGATGAGCACTGGGTGTTATGTGGAAACTAATTTGACAATAAACTATTTATAAAAAATAAATAAATAAAATACACTTAATAGAAATGGTACTCAAAAAAAAAAAAAAAAAAAAAACAAAGAGTGCTCTCCAATTTGAAAGCCATCAGTCCCGTTACACAAGCCCCCTTGGGCCTGGGTTAAAATATTTTGTTTGCAGCCTCTGCCTCTCGCCCCCAAGCCTTTGCGGTTATGTTTTGTCCCTTTCTGGGTTCCAGATATTTTCTCCTGGGAATCTTCAGCTCTAGAAGGAAATACTTAGCAGAGTGAGAAGTAACCAGAATTTGCCACCCAGTGGGACCGGGGAGGGAGGGGGAGGTTTCTGCCGTGTGCTCGCGGCTGTGCACAGGCTGTACACACAGGGTTTGGAAGGGGGAGACCAGGTCTGGAATAAAGAAAGCCAGGAGAAATAAGAAGGTACAAGTGAACAAATAGGAAATCTGTCCTTAAGGAACATCGTCAGGGCTGCTGCCTTTTTTTTTTTCCCAAGAGATGGTAGGCAAGGCCATCTATGGAAGGCCAGTGGTGCTGGAATTATAGGGTGAAGGAGAACTGTCCAAGTTCTTGGTTTGGGGACATTTCGATGAGAGTGGTGATCAGAGAAGAAGAAGAAAGTGATAGGTTGGCAGGGCGAAAGAGCAGCATGGCATCCTCGGGAGAGAGCGTGACGGAAGGAGAGGGAACAGTGTATTCCCATCTCATCTCACTGACACAGCCCATCTTTCTACAGAGTAAATCCTTTGATTGCCTCCTTTGCAAGAATTCCCTTATCCAGTGAAGGCTGGGCTAAGTCATAGGTTTTCCTAAGGGCAAGGCAAATTGAGATAAGAAACAGAAACAACAAATCTCGCACAGTCACATCGGGTAGACAGAAAGAACAGGAAGCCCGGTCCAATGCCAGTCCTGGCCTGGACCCACTTCAGCAGACAGACCCTCATCAAGTCGGGGTAGAGCTAGCACCAGCCTTCCCCAGGGTGTCGGGCAAACCCTCTTTGGCTGAAAACGCAAGGCTGTTTCGTGCTCCCTCTGAAGTCAGGAGGCACTGGTGTTATTTCTTTCAAACTCTGTTGCCTCCTCTGCTGTACGGCTCTTATAATGAAGCCATTATTCATGATGATAAAATTCTGGAAAGAATTTGCATAATACATTTTTTCTCTTAATGAGATTTGTTGCCCTATTGATTTCAAGTTAATGCTTAATATTTAATTTAATTTACTGCCTGTAATTACAGTGCCAGAATAAAATAAATGTAACTTGTCTACCAACAATACCGCTCCACTCTTAACAGGCCATCAATCAATACCGTCAATTAGGTGAATTATACAATTAATTCAACATCATGAATCCACTCACAGGGCGGGAAGGGAGGGAGAGGCCCCCTAGGTGTGCTGGGAAAGTTACTTGAAGTAGATGTGGAAGAGCAGAGTGCCGGCTCTCTGGGGCAGTGCTGGGCTACTTGTGGTCACCTGGGGCACTTGGATGAAAGATCACCAGTGACCGTGGGGAGCCTCTCACCACCAGGAGCACTCTCTCTGTCTGCCCATCTACGTAACCCCTGCCTGCTTGGTCACCAGAAAGGACTTGAAACAATAAACACGTTTGCATTGCTGAAGAAAAATTACAGCCACGAGAGAAGACCCTTGCCACCATATTGGGCAGCACTTTCTGAATGGACCTTTTGAATGAGGTCTTTATGGGGTTGGATGAAACCTTCAGACAGCCTAGAGTCTAGCACGGCTGACTCCCAAAGACAGCTGCTCCCTAAGGTATAGCCTGATGTTGCCGGGTGGGGGTGGGAGGGAGGACGGGGCACAAGGGGCCATCCTTGGCAGCTGCCAGAAACTGTCCACAGAACGCGTGAATTTACAGGATGAAACCAGTCCAAAGCCTGGACTTGACTCTGTCTGGGTATTCAAACCTGTTTAAATAGAAATGCGTATATGATTCCAACTATAAGATACTCTCAGAAGGCAAAACCACAGAGACCCTAAGGGCTCAAGGAAAGAGGTAGAAGTGGGGTGGGGGGGCAGAGGATTTTAGAGCAGGGACCTATTCTGTGGTCCCTTATCCAGTGAAGGCTAGATATACACCACAGTGATGCATACCTGTCAGTGTACATTTGTCAGAACCCCAGTGTATACCCCAGTATAAACCATGGACTTCCGTTGGTAGTGACCTGTCCGTGCTGGTCCATTGACTGGACTAAATGTACCACATAATACAAGATGTCCAGGGGACATCTTGTTTTGCTCTGACCCTAAAACCACCCTAAACAAAGCCAAAAACTGCTCTAAAAAATTAGGAAGGTGTGACAGGATGAGGGGCCACTTCTTGGGAGTTCTCTGACACTGGGGATGCTACTATACCCCAGAGGCTTTCTGGAGAGTCCTTGTCGTGATCAGATGTGCTGGCTCTCCCTTCATGACCTGTCGTGATCAAGTGGCCGGCCCCGAGTCAGGATGCGTGAATGCACGGGCTCTTTGGTACCCAGCCTGCACCGCAGGGGCGAGGTCAGTAGACTACCCCGCCCTGCAAGGATCCCCACAGACCAGCAGCTCAGCATGCCTGTGACTTCTCTCCCACTGTAGGGCATCCAGATGGTATGTGAGACTCTGACCGAGTGCTGGGACCATGATCCGGAGGCCCGACTCACGGCCCAGTGTGTGGCGGAGCGCTTCAGCGAACTGGAGCACCTGGACCGGCTCTCAGGGAGGAGCTGCTCTGAGGAGAAGATTCCCGAAGATGGCTCGTTGAACACTACCAAATAGCTCTTCCCAGAGCAGGCTGGGCTCATCTAAAGAGGCTGCCCCTGTCACCAAAGAACAGGGGCAGCAGGAAGTTGCCCCTGATCCTGAACCAATGCTTCCTGGAAGCCCAGGGGGTCACTCCCCTCCCTGTGAGTTGTGGGCATAAGCAGAAACAGCAGCAGCAGGGAGTGGGTGACATGAAGCATTCTATGCCTTTGACATTGTCATAGGATAAGCTGTGTTAGCACTTCCTCAGGAAATGAGATTGATTTTTACAATAGCCAATAACATTTGCACTTTATTAATGCCTGTATATAAATATGGAATAGCTATGTTTTATATATATCTATATATGTCTATATCTATATATATATACAGCCATACTCTGGAAAGAGACAAGGAAAAAAGATCAAATATCCCAGGAAATCGGTTTGTTTGGAGAGCTCCCGAACCAGGCACAGAAGGAAGGGATCCGTGACAGCATTAGCACTTGACAATCACACGTGCTCTGGTTCTCTGGCCACACGAGGTGGGGGGGGGCCTCTGCGTGAGGAGAGGGGCTCCGAGTCTCACGCCTGCTCCAGCCACGCTGCACTCGCTTTTGCAAAATAACAATTCTGCGTGCGTGGGTCCTTTGCCGGCCGTGCAGCTAATTAGAGTCTCGCTTTTTGGGGATGAAATCCTGGGGTTCCTGTGTGCCACTGTGTCTCCTGGACTTTTCACTTGAGATTCAAGCCCACAGTCTGTTTGTGAGCCTCCTTCCTCAACCAGCTCTTGTCTCTAAGAGCTTCAAGGTTTTGAGCTGCCCAGGCTTCACACGCATAAAAATCAGAACAGATTTCCCCACTTACGAAATGGCCACATATTCTACTAATGAGAGATAATGCTTTCGTTGTTTTTATTCTCCTTGCTATATCTATCTATGTTACTCTTCTCTACTTCCACCCATATTCCCTTTCCTTAAAGGGAATGAATCTCCTTGCCAGGGTTCACTGTGTGCAGATTTTCATCAGGCTCGGTTGGAGTCTCTAGCTTTCTGTGCAGACATCAGCAGATTCCTTCTCTCTGGGCCCCTGAACGCTTCAGTCCATTCTGGCCCAGTCAGGACTCTAGCAGCACAGCACAGCCGTGGTCCGAACCGTTTCCACAGACACAGAACACGTGTTTTGCTTGGCCAGCACTGCGATGGACAAAATTGAGCCCCTTTTTAAATATTTGGAGAATTTGCAAAAAAGAACAATCTGTATTCTCCCAAGTGAGGATAGATAGCAGATGGCTTCCATTTCTCCCTGGTCCACATTATTCAGAAAACAAAGGTGTGGACGCACTTATAAAGCTGCTTTCCTTCTCAGTGTAAACGTTTGTATTTTCCACTGCCTGCCTCATCCCGGTCTAGGAATTAAACTTGCCCCTAACCCAGGCCCCTTGTAAGAAATGTGCATTACATCAGCCATTCTCTATCATACAAATTTGATTCCCTCCCTCTTCCTGGTCTGGTGTTAAGATTTTAAGTTTGTGTGTGTGTGTGTGTGTGTGTGTCTGTGTGTGTGTGTGTGTGTGTGTCTGTGTGTGTCTGTGTGTTTTGGACTGAAGGGGACCCCCTCAAGTGGTCTCAGTTAAGCCAAATCTATTACGGAGGGGAGCTCTTACCTAGAATCTTATGCCAAGGTTACCAGTCTCCGCCATACGGCCTTCTGGCCCTTTGCAGGATTTGCTAGCAAGGACTTGAATGTGGGAACGAGTCCCTTTTGGCATTTAGGAAGTCTGTGTGCGAATGGGCAAGAACAAAGAATGAGCTTTAATACTCCATAGGAATTTGTTAATCCACAAACAAATGTTAATGCTGCAAATAATCTCTTTTTTTTTAATGTTGTTGAAGCTACCTGTTTTCAGCCAAATAGGAATATTAGGACCGGCAGTGAGCATATCCGTTCCATTTGGATTTTGGAAGGTCTCTCATTGAGGTTTTAGCAGGTAGGCTGAGATTTGGGATTAGATGTACCTTGTAGGCACCCTGCTCAATGGGGCAGTGGTAAGGGGGTGGCAGCGCTGAGAAAGTTCAAGACTGTCTGCCTGCAGTACCTTGGAAATGCCCATAAATTCCTTGCACCTTAGGGCTTATTGATGCTGTCTCAATAGCTGTTGCTCATTGACCTCTAGTGGTGAATTTCTAGAATACTGGTCCATTAATGGGATTTTCCAAGATTCAAAAGAGCTTTATCACTTCTGGGTGGTCATCAGCATAAACTGGAATGTAGTGTCAGATGATACTGTGGCTTTTTTTTTTTGTCAAGAAAAAGACCAAGGAATAACATTCTGTAGTTCCTAAAAATACTGATTTTTTTAAACTACTATACATAAAGGGAAAGTTTTATTCTTTTATGGAACACTTCAGCAGTACTCATGTATTAAAATAGGAATGTGAATCCTATATACTCTTTATATCAAGTGTCTCAGCACTTATTTTCATTCTATGCATTGTTGTCTTTTATATAAATAAAATGTTTATTAGATGGAATAAAGCAAAAATACTCAGGTCAGCTTCCTGCCTCCTGATCCTATTTATCATAATTGAGCCATGTAGTCACACTTGGTTATTGTAGAAAAAGTCACAAATTTTCCAATTTTTTGTCTTCAAATGACAATCTCAAGTCCTTTAAAAAAAAAAAAATCACAAAAGCTCCATAATATGAGATTCATGAAATGCCTCCAGTGGTCTGGACAGGAAGCCTCTCGTCTCCTGGTTGTCATCTTGCCTGTCCCAGAAGCTACTTCCATTCACACGACTGCGTCTTCCAGGGCTCGTCCCTCACATAGCAGGCCCTTGACTATCTTTGTGACTATTGTCATGTGTCATGCTTCCTCCCTCTTCCTTTCTACTCATCCCACAGCATCCTAACTGGGGCTTTTAACCAGTTTATCCTCATCACCAGATGATGTGCCTTAGGCACTTGGTTCCAGGCCATTGCCAGAAGGATTCCTGGTAATGATGTATGCGATTTGCTGCCCCAACTTTGGGCTTCTGGTTTTGGAATCTCAGCAATTCTATGGTTTCTTCTAAGTTATTAACTGAGTTCTACATAGTTACGGTTCTAAATATTGGGGTTTCTCTATTTTTTAAAATATTTTATCTCAGAGAGAGAGACCATGAGCAGGCGAGGGGCAGCGAGAGAAGGAGACAGAATCTGAAGCAGGCTCCAGGCTCTGAGCTGGCAGCACACAGCCTGATGTGGGGCTCAAACCCACAAACCATGAGATCATGACCTGAGCCAAAGTCAGTTGCTCAACTGACTGACTTCAGGGGCAACCCAGATTGTCACCACCCCGCCGCTACATTGGGGTTTCAAAACGTCAGCACTACTGATGTTTTGATTGGATAGTTCTTTGGGGAGTGGGCCTGTCCTATGCATTGTAGACAGCATCCTTGGCCCCCACCCCAGAGCTGTGACAACCAAAATGTTGCTAAACATTGCCAAATGTTCCCTAGGGGACAAAATCCCCCTCAGAATCACTGAACTGGGGGCATGAGTCCTCTGTTACCAGGTAGCTCAATAATCTTAGTGGTCACCTGCCCCTCCATTTATCAGCTCTGTGACCTGCATAATTATATGCTTCATGCCTCAGCTTAATTACATGTAAAATAGGACTTTACAGGCCTCATCCTATACGATCTACTGCTGTGATGGAAATACATGCAAAAGCTTTTGGAGTTGTGTCTTGAATTTAGAAAGCCCACGGTGCATACTGGCCAATATTAAATTGGTTTAGTATGCCAACAGCTGCTTTCCCATTGAGGGAGACTTTGAGGTAGATGCTAGAGAGCGTTCCCACCACTGAAGGGATCTGGGCACATGCTGCACGGCCTGTATGGTGGTAATCTGAGGAGAGCTCTCATTTGCTGAGCACCTGCCATCTCATCACATTGAACACCCACTAGCTCCCCGTGGTGGATACTACGTACCCTTTACAGATGAGAAACCATCTTGAGAGAACTCGAGAAAGAAGCCTAGGGTTTCATGGAAGCAGAATCTGGGTGAGGGGCCAAGTTGTCTTAGAATTTGGAATAATTTGGAATAACGCTCGGTTCTCTTCTCCACTTTGCACTGTCTCCTGAGGGAACTGGCCCATATGGTGGGATGAGAGGGCCACACTGTGATGAAATGTTCTACTCCATCTACACATCATGGCCCTGTTCTCCTCCCCACTGCCCCCACTCCTCCACAGAGTTGATTGCTCAGTGGAGATAAGGAAAGTGCTGCTTCATCTCTGTCGCCCGCTGACTCCACTCATGTGATAAATGTTACCTAAAGCCTTAATGAGAACAACTGGAAGATGAATGAATATGCGTGGACAGCATTGCCTAATGTGTACATGGGAACTTCAGATTATTCCAGATTGTAACAATCCTTAAAAACACAGTTTTAGTGGGTCTCTTATTTCATTTAAAAAGAAGTTTTTTATATTTATTTTGAGAGAGAGAGTGAGCTGGGAAGGAGTGAGGGTGGGGTTGGAGGGTGGGAGAGAAAGAAACCCAAGCAGGCTCTGCACTATCAGCGCGAAGTCAGATGACAAACCATGAGATCATGACCTGAGCCAAAATCATGAGTCGGAATGCTTAACCAACCGAGCCACCCAGGTGCCCTTATACTGTTCTTATTTTAACACGTGGTAGAAAAACTTAACTCCTTAAGCCTCAAGTTTCACAAATATCAATCCACATTAATCACTAACATGTACTGAATATTCTGAAACATCAAAAGCCGTTCTCCCTTACCTCCTTTATCTGCTTTAATCTTCACTGCAAACCTGCAAGGCAGCCTTACCTCCATGTTAGCGATGAGGAAACTGAGGCAGAGAACAAGGTATTCCTGAGAATCCCATGGTTAGCAATCTTTAGGCCAGGATTTGAACTGAAGCAGTGAGACTCCAACGCCCATACTCCCATCTTGAACACAAGACAAAGCTGGTGTAAGAGAGCAAAAGTGGGGGTGGGGGGGTCCTGTGACATGCTCTGCGGTCTGACGCATCAACCTAAACTACAGAAGAGGAAGGTTCAGTTTAGAGGGCAAGGGGCAGGCCATCAGGGATCCCAGAGAGAGAAAGTCACTCCTCAAAGGCACATGGACTCAGCTCCAGCCCAAGAGCTTCAGCCAAAACAGGAGCCAAGGTCTTCTGACTCCCTTTGCGGGCTCCGTTTTGCAGAGGTGGTTTGAATTCTCACTACTACAAGGTCAAGAGCTTTCCTGGTTGCCAGTAAGTCTCCAAGCACCCGCAGCAGAGCCCTGGTCTCTTGCACTAGCCCCCCTTTGGCTTTTGAATGTGGGTGCTCTTTGAGCCCCTGAATTTCTGATTTGGGGTGGCAGCTTTTGTTGTTAGCTCTCTTGCAATCGATACACACTGATGGCCCAGTCCTGAGGGGAACCCCTTCCCTGGGTGACAAGAAACTTTTCATTTAAATCAGTGAGTCCCTCCTCTTTCACAAAACTCACCGTCATTGGCATCTCTCATTCTGTTCATTTTCTTCCCGAAATAGGCCTTCTAATTGTTGCTTATCACATTTCTGATTCCTTTTTTTTTTTTTTAACTTGAATAATTACAGCTCCAGAGGATGGGTTTGGGGCCATGGCTTTCAGGCCTATTTTGCAAACTGTGCTGATAAAGACAAGATTGTGAACTTTCCCATAATACACGGCCTGCCAATCAGCCCCACACAGCGTGATTTCATTCTAGTGCACCTCCTGATCTTTGCTGCATTTAAAAATAACTTGTTAATAGTCTTCCTGGTCTAATTAAGCTAAAATTGCCCACACTGAAATGATTGCTCTCTTTCACTCTATTTATGCACACGCGTGAGCACACACACACATGCAAGTGGTCCTCAAAAATCACTTCTGTCTGCAGCCTTGCAGCACAGAGCTTCTGAAAATGTCCTCAGAGTCCTCGCTCCACCCATGCCCACAACAGTAAATGACAGAATAACTATAGCCCTGATGCCATCGGGTCATCATAAAAGATAAAATGCCCTTAATCTTCATGTTTTGTCTAAGTATTCATAAGAAAATCATTAAAATTGGGAACTCAAGAGCTGCACTCCCTTGACCCCCAACTCTGCCACCAAGGACCTATACAACTTTGTGCATGCCTCTTAACCATTGTATTCCTTTGGCTTCTTTCTTTCTTGGTAAAATTGAATCAGTGACAGGAACTCCCTGGGAGAGCAGGAAAGGTCGCTGTTAAGAGTAGAGCTCCTATTTTAAAAGAACAGAGACCAATACACATCATCTTAGGATGATAAGGATTTTTTTTTTTTTTTTGCATTCTATTCTAAAATGAAGCTCTGTGGTAGTATTTCACAGATATGTTGTACCCCAAACCTGGGGGGCAAAATAGGCTCTTGAGGAAGATGAGCCCTATTTATCCATAACTGTGAGCAGACCACCCCATATCATTGACAAGACTTTCACTCACTCAGCCTGGCATGGCTGTGATGGTAAATACAGGGCTGTGGGAGACAGGAAATCCCGGGGTCTAGTCTGGCTTTGTCCGTGACTTTGGTCTTTCGCTCTTGCGACTCACCTGAGACTCTTCCCTGTCCCACCCACATTAGAAATCTGGAGAAAATCAAATGACATAATAAGTAAAAATACATGGGAAAAGTACTGGGTAGTAATGTTGCACAATGGAATTTATTACCTTTTTTGGACGTGGATAGACACATTGAGACCTTGCTGGAACATTAGATTCTCTTTTGTTAATAACATTATATATGTATCCGCTCACTATCCCAGCAAATCTGGAAGGTAGGAATTATTTCCTCCATTTTGCAGCTAAGGAAATGGAAACAAGTATCTTAGGCAAGTTTATGGTTTACACCCTGTCCCTCTCGAGTACAAAGCATCCACTCCTCCAGGCTGTCTTGTCCATCTTTATTTCCTTCATTCAGTGCACATTAATAGAATGCAGGGTGGCCTACCACCCAAGGTCTGACCGCAGCTTGAGAGCAAGAACTATGTGTTGTTACTCAGCGTTTATGCCAGCCTCTAGCACAGAGCGGAGCACGTAACAGTTGTTCAATAATTTTCACTGAAGGAAGAAAAGAAGGCTCTTGGCCTTTAGAAGTTCACAATCCGACTGAGGAGACAGACTCACAAATGCGCTGAGGAGGTCCTAACTGGTAATGCCTCTTGGGAGTGAAATAGCCTGAGGCCAAAAATGCCGATTTTGCAGAAAAGTGTTTAGTGAGAGCATGAGTGCTGTCCCATAGTGGCCCATGCGGACACAATGCCCCGGCCACCATGGCTACCCCTGACGAGATGGCCTTGCTCCGTCAGTTCCCTTAGAACTCGCTCTCAGGGAGCCTGTGTTAGTTCCCTCGGGCTGCTGGTACCAAATAGCATGATTGGAACAAAGAGAAATTTCTTCTCTCATAGTTCAGGTGTCTAGAAGTCCAAAATCAAGGTGTCGGCAAGACCTCGTTCCCTCCGAAGTCTCTAGGGAATAGTTAGGACTATTGCTTGGCGTGTCCAGATCCCATTGGCTC